GGGACGAATGGTCTGGGGTAGTGCGACTGTAAATTATTTTGTTTTCCTTCGTTTGGGCGCATCTAAGAATAACTCGCTTGAAGGAGTGTATCCGTCTTCTCAAATCCGGATTTTAGACATCTGCAGAACGCCTCATATAGATTTATCACGACCGAACATCGTGCCAAATTTGGGCACCGAATAATCTATACCCTCCCGAACTCCCCTATCACCCGTCCTTGTTCGCGGCTATGCAACGTCTAAATAAAAGCAGATTCAGAATACGGATCTTGGACATATACAGTCAATGTATAGTACACATATATATTCATGGTACGAACCTACACAGTTAACATTAAATTGATAACCACATACTCACTCATAATTTGGCAAAACGGTTGTCGTCCTGTCCAGTTGCCATGCCTACACACTCTCAGGTTGGATCCATAAAGGGTATACTCTTCTTCACAGGTGAAATATGCCCTTAAATTGTTCACTATCCTCACAGTGCCATGGGGAGGTGCTTCCAAATCAGGACAAGAATGTCCTGAAAATAAAATCTAATTGATGATTTCTTAACCTGCTAGGAAATTATGATTCTACCCAAGAGTTTTGATGGTGAGGGGGGGGTGACGTTTAATTGATTAATTGTGTAACTAGCACGTAATTTATATGTAAAGTAATGGTCAAGACTGGTAAAAGGTGACCATACATCCAAACGATCCACAAGATTTGACATATAAAAGGTTGACTGGGTAGGTTGTCAGTGGCTTTTATTGATATTAGTATACTATGTATATCACGTGACAGCCTTGTCCGAGTTCGTCATCCTAGCTGGTTGCTAGTCATTTGTTATGATCACTAACAACAGTTTTTCAAAGTATATCAATCACGCCAACATATTCAACGATGACAGATAAATTGATTTGAAATGTTGCATAAACTTGACTTTTTGAAAAATGCACAATCGAATAGGGTAGTCGAACACGATATGAACAACTTCATTATTATTAGACGTGTCAGAATATATAATGATCGACTGGATAAAATACGTCTTGCTTCTATGACATCTTTCCTTAGTGAAACCCTCAAAATAAATCACTTAGTACGAGCCAGTGTTACTCTTTCGAAGTAACTGAATTCACATATAGCCTTATTTAACAAGATGTCAATTGAAACGAAGAAACACTTACTTTCACATGATGTTATTCCATCTCCTTGATAACCAGGTGGACAAAAACATATAAAAGAACCTTGCGTATTCCTACAAAAAGCTAATTCGTGGCAGGGATACTCAAAATATGCCTGATCACTTTCACTGTTGTAATAGTAGGAGTTGTCATCACCACATTCGTCAACATCTAAAAGTAGCAAAAAATGAATCAATCAAATATTATTTCACAGAGAAAAAACTTTTTAATTATTTGCTTATCTTATTTATTATTACGTACTTATAAGTGTATTATGGCTTTTCCGATCAAATAAATAATAATTTAAAATAAAATAAGATATATGATTAATAAAAATTAAATAAATATTTAAAGGAAAGTACCAAACTATGGCTTATTTCAATGAGATTTCTCCCTCATATCACTCTACAACTATAAATCAGGGTTACAAACAACTTACCAACACATATTGGTTCCGAATCAATCCATTCATCTGTAATGTCACACAATCTATTCTGTGATTGGCCATTCAAATCATATCCAGCGTTGCACAATACCTCAACAGTTCGTTGACCTGTGTTGAGATCTGGGCCTTCTATAGTGCGGTAGCTTCCATGCTGTATAACCCCTTCGTGGAGACATTCTAAAATTAATTGGAACAACATGTGATAAATAAACATGTCAACAATATGACGTGTTTCTATGATTTATTGGTACAAATCAAAGGTTTAGGTCACCGTGTCAGACTACGACCAGCAATGAAAACATATATTATAAAAAATGTGTATCTTTATTCTTCAGTCGTTGCATCGCGTCCTGTTCGATCGGGCCCCATACGACGAAAGCGTACCACCAAAATAAACTGTTTGCTTAAACAAAATTTGTATTCCTTTGTCTATATCATTGAATATATTTGCCTGGCGTTTTCTGCAGTGGTTCTCATGTAACCTATTTTTTTTTTTTATAATTCCTACATATCTATAAACGTAAAATAGTATGTATATTGTTGCAAGTTCGCCGTAACGATGTCAACCATTCACAATGGCTGATGAAGAAGGCGATATAAAGTTTTTGTTCTTTAAATTATTTTTAATGGTAAATTACATAGTGACACTTACACTAACACTAACAAAAACACAATTTACAGCTTCTATACCCACAGTGAATTTCTGTAAATAATTTGTCGTTGGTGTAAAATGCTCGTGCAGAAATTAAAGTTAAAAGAAATATTTATAGTGAGCTGGTTTTCCGCTATATAATACACATCATATACAAATCTGAATGTACAAATACCAGTTGCCCAATTTATAAAAAATAACACGAACCTTAGACAGCAACATCTTCTGGCAAATTAACATAAATACTTTTCTCCTTTAATACGTTTTTTCTTCTCATTTCCATCTTTCATTGATTTAATGTTTATTGCTTTTTTTTATTATTATTACCAACATATATCAGTAGTTTTTTTGTAATTGTAGTCTGTTGATTTATTTTTTAAACCATTGTTGTGCTTTAGACAGTAATTCTTGTAAAATTTGTATGTTTTATATATGTGTTTTAGCAGTGAGTGTAACCATTTTAATTCCTTCTGAGGAATTTTAAGTGTTTGAATAAACCATATATACCAGTAATACTAGTATTTGAGTTTTAGTTGTGTTATCGCCCTCAGTGTCCCAATGGTCACCCTTTTACAGAAAACCCATTGGTCCCATATGCAAGCGAATCCATATTACCATTTCCTTATATGGTAGGATGAAAATACCCCGTAAAATACCGCAAAATTACGGCATGCTGTAACTTATGGCGTTACGGTGACAGATGTAATGCGAATTCCAAATAAGGAATGATTACGCGCGTAAGCGTCCTCTAATAATAAAAAAACAAACATGGCTGCTACCAGAGTTTGACCGGACTCAACACAAAGAAGTTCGCTGATTCTGTTCTAAATATTTTGGATTCCCAATGATGTATCCTTGGAGGGAAAAGACGTATAATAATAAGTTTACGAGGAAACCTCAAAGTATACACTCAGACAGTACGGCGCGCATCGACCTCCACTGTGCGTCGGTCGATACGCCTGCTGCACTGTCTTCGTGCTTACTTTGAGGGACTGTGCTTTGAGGAGGTATCCCCGTAATTAACCTCATAATACTGTATACCTATGCTCATAAATATGGATTTGTTGACTCCAATGTAGTATATACATTACAATAAAATAAGAATTCGTCGTCATGATGCCACTGTTATTGTGCGACGATCCATACTTGTTAACTGTCAACTAATCCAGCTGCATGCTAACAGTCAACTATTGTGATTTTAGCCTCTAATAACACTTAAACGAACATCTTACCTGAATTAATTGTTGCTATGAAAATCAACGGGAGCAGAAGGACGAAAGCCGCCATTGTGTTTAGTCTGGCCTCTTTTTGTGGCCCTGTTTTTAATAGATTGACGCGAGGGCGACGTCAACAAGTTACATGACGGAAATCGGACACTGCCAATTCCGGGAGATTAGAACACTATGCAGCAAAACATGATCTCGTGAGTACCTTTTCCAGATTAAACCGGATGATGTTTATTCTGCGAAGTTAATTCTACTTAAACAGGATGTCTAGAGTCGGATGATGTTACCAACAGTGATTTACGCTTTGTTTTTGACATGTTAAACTAGATGTGCTTTGCGGTGAATGGCCGCAGCTAATGTAATTGGTCTGGAAAATAATTCAATTAGCCCCAGTCTCTCACACGAAGGGAAGGGAAATGATTGCAAAGCGACAAACAAAAAACAAGTTAACAAATGGATCTTGTACGTACAATAAACTCGGTATTTTTCTTTGCATCGCATACCATGTACCTCCATGCGTATATTTTGTTTCGGCTTCTGCAAAAGTATTATACTATTTCTGACCTGTATATTCATTTTTATATATTACTTCAAAAATAGATTTCAAATGAATTCGTGCACAAGTGAGCATGTTACTGCACACATGTGCAATGCATTATGGGAGATAACCTCCCATTACTTATAATGAAAATCTAGTATCACCCTGGAAACCCGTTTTAAATGATTTCACAATGTTAGATGTAATATCAATAATAATATGTGACTTTGTCATCCCATGTCATAGAGCAAAATTTCGAGATATGAATAAATAATCTCACCAGCGGAATACAGCTGTCTATTGTGCTATATTTTCAATGTGATTTAGTTGTAATTTATTTAAAATCTGTTATTGCATTGCATTGTATGTGTAGTTTAGTTGCAGTTTATTTCAACAAGCAGCCTTTTGGCTGAGATAGCTCCGCTGTTAGCAAAGCACATTTCAATTAAAGAACTGAAGATATCATTAGAAAAGGAAAAACCTCATCGCAGCAGTCCAGGGCGCCACTCACGCCACTCGTCAGGCTACGTAGGGGTGTGTGTGCAAATTATTGTTTCTATTTCGTTTAGTTTAAAGCTAGGTTTGTTTTTGTCACATCCAGTTCAGCTGATCCAGTTTGACGCATAACTTTTCGGCTATTAAACCATAATTTAATGTTCCTCAGTGGGCTAAGGCTGCAATTGCCAAAACGAGGCTTTCAACAATGCGCGTTAACTACTTTACCGCACACTTGTCACTAAACTTGTCAAAAGTGGAAAGTTTAACGACATTCATGATGACCAGTCTGTCGAAAAGACGAGTCTAAAAGAAGGATTATAGTATGGTAGGAATTTGGTTTAATCCTTTTGAGTCATTGTTTATTTTCTTATTTTGTTTTTGCACTGTCGCCGAATACTAGTAGTTGTCGTCTGCCCATATACAGGACTCATACTTCGTTTACACAACGCAAAACAACGGAGATCCGTGATACAATGCTGTCTTAGCACCCAACCCATTGTTTACTGTGAATTATTACACATTTCCTTAGAAAGCGTGGCGATCTCATTCAAATCTAAGCCTGTAAACTGACACTTCCGGTGGTTCCTCCATCCTGTCAGTGGCGTGGCAGAGCGAAATAGTCGCATCAACATATACATCGTTGCTGACAGATACGGCGACAAGAATGACACAGAAAACCTTAATCTGTATTAGATGGTATACTTTCCTGGTTATATTTGGATATGTATCAGGTAAGTTATACGGTAAGGGTATTAAAATGGTTGTGGGCCTTTATAAGTTTTTCAAAGAGAGTAGAGCATGTGATGTTATTTGTAAACTGACCTTTGTCAGACATGACGCTGAACAGCAAATGTTTATTTTGAATATTTTCTGAAAGAGGTCGCGTTACAGACAAAATAACCATTGTGTGTATACCTTTAGTCACAGGTTTTGAGGAGTTGTAGTGTTGGTCAGAACTCTGTAAAACTGATTGTGAATCATATCGAATACACTCATGTAGGTTCGCCCTAAGTAAAATTATTGTTTTGCATTTTTACCTTGTCGTATCATCGTAGATGAAAGGCAAGTCTGTCATTGTTGTTATCGTTTACTCTGCCGTAAATCTTTTCTTGTGGTTACAATAATTAGTTTTTATCAAATTTCGAAAATATTTTCTCATTATTTATTAAATTTCAATTAAAGTTGTCTTATCTGATCATCTTAAAATTTAGAATCTTATTAACCGCTAGTAAATGTCAACTAATTTGACAGAAATTTTAAGACAAGGAAATAATATTGTGTTCACACTTGTGCCGATGCCATGCTGATTTAATTTAAGACGTCCTGAAATGGCAAGTCTCAACCAGCACCTTGTACTTACAGAAACGGTTTTAGCACAAGTGAACAATAATGCCACCTCAAAAGCTCGCCCTCAATTTCAGCCTTGCTCTGGAGTTCCACTCATTGCAAGTATTTTAAAGAAACTTTGCGATCAATAACAAAGCCTGCTCAGTTTGGTCTTTATACATGTATGAACACAGGACTAATTAACACCACTGATACATGTAACTATTGTTTACAGAGTTAGACAAGCTGCTTTATACACATGACTTATTAAAACCACTGATAACTATTGTTTACAGAGTTAGACAAGCTGCTTTATACACATGACTTATTAAAACCACTGATAACTATTGTTTATCAAGTTAGACAAGCTGCTTTATACACATGACTTATTAAAACCACTGATAACTATTGTTTACAGAGTTAGACAAGCTGCTTTATACACATGACTTATTAAAACCACTGATAACTATTGTTTATCAAGTTAGACAAGCTGCTTTATACACATGACTTATTAAAACCACTGATAACTATTGTTTATCAAGTTAGACAAGCTGCTTTATACACATGACTTATTAAAACCACTGATAACTATTGTTTACAGAGTTAGACAAGCTACTTTATACACATGACTTATTAAAACCACTGATAACTATTGTTTATCAAGTTAGACAAGCTGCTTTATACACATGACTTATTAAAACCACTGATAACTATTATTTATTATTTACCAAATTAGTCAAGCAGCTTTATACAGTATGAACACAGGACCATGGGACTATAAACCACAGGAAGAACAACCACTTCTTTTCCTTTGAACTATGATAGTTGCTGCGATGTCGATTGTTTATTTCGTTGCATTAAAAAAATCAGTCAATTTACTCAAATGAACGGGCGACTTTGGGAGATCACGTGATCGAGTTGTTTCGGTTATAGCATAAAAAAACAATGGCGCCAAGACAAAAACACTGATAAATGAGCGACATTCAACGGGGAAAAAAAACACATTGCCACTTCTGGCGATTGAAGGGAAACACGGAATAAGTCGGGATATCTCGACAACAAACAGCATACCAAACCCCATGTTTCGCAAACTTTCGCAACCTTATTTTTTCGAGGGTTGAAAAAAACAAGAAGTAATCTAAAAACGACATTGAAAATTATGAAAACTCGCTAAAACTCCGACCCGTTGCATGATTTCTGGTACACTGAAGGTCACCCTGCAGACTGACTTGTTTGCGCATGCGTAGTGAACGAAATATTTTACTGCGCAGATATATAATTTTTTTTTCAAGTTTTCCGTTTCCAGCAAAGCGGTTGATACGAGCGTATTGGCGGCAACTAACATGGAGTATGACTAATGTTGTGGAAACAAAAGCGAAAGCACTGTAAGATAAACTAAGACAAAGGTTTTTTTAATCCTCTTAGTTTCGTTGTTCTTCCTGGGGTTTATAGTTCCATGAGCTAAATCATCAATATTGATTGGAACTCATGATGATGTTACCATCCGTGTTCACGTTACACGAAGTACGGGCTAAGATTTAAGCTGATTTAGGCTTATCTAGCATATTTGCATTTCGGCTAGACCCAATTGCGTCCACGCACAGGGAGGGCCAGTCGTTAGCACGGGCTAAGGGGTGCCATTAGTCGGTGACCTTTGGTAAGCCGCTATTTACGAACGAAAAATGGATGACATGCACGAGGTTCTATTTCTGCTGCTGGCATGTTTCGTTCCCGGGTTTCGTTCTAATTTTGAAGCGACGTGCACAGGAACACGAGAGGAGACGGACCCAACTTATTTGGATGCACATAAACAGTATACAACGGGCGTAACAGAATACAGAGTTTTATTAATGCATGTCGCATTAATGCACAGCGAACCAAATTTATTTTGTCTACGATTGGAGCTGCTGCATGCTGTACGCTCTACTACAGTAACCCGATTAGTGTGGAAGCGAGCGCGGAGTAATGACTGGTGGAATAGTATCGTTATACGAACATGGGACAATTTTTACACCCAAAGGTCGCCGCAGAGGGCGCTTAGCCCTGGGCTAAGCATTCGCGCATACTTCGTTAGCTCGTGCTAAGGTCTAGACCGCGTCTTAAATTCGGGTCAGATTTAACCCGTACTTAGCATTCCTTAGCCCGTGCTAAGCGTTCACGCACGTTTTCTTAGCACGGGCTAAGGAATTTGACCTCTTAGCCCGTGCTAAGGAGCTGTGCGTGAACGCAACTATTGTTTCTGGATTGGTCAATTTGAATTATACCAGTCATTTTAATTTTTAAAAATTTATAATTTGTCTTTAACATATCCAGCTTTATGTTTTTAAATTTTATAGTTAGAAGGGGGATTGTGACCTATTAAGCTCTGAGTGTTTCTCTCCATTTGTTCATAAACAGTATCCTACTCAACTTTTTAGTCCCCATTTCAGTTTCGCTTATTTCCGGTTGATGAACAAGTCTCATAATTTTTTTCCAGATCTGAAAATCCTAAGTGGGTCTTTTTCATGATTTTCATCATAAATTATCTCTTCCAACAACACTGAAAGAACAACTGAGCATGCTCAAAATATATAATTAGGTTAAATGGTAATGCTAAGGTTTTCATTGATGTCATGACCTTGATCTGAATCAGTGACAGAAACCACAGTCTGGTTTTTGTTTGGTTTTATATGAAAACAAAATCTTGAAAAAAAGTGGTCAGAAATGTTGTTGTATATTATATCTTTAAACTATAAAAATTGCATTCCATTATTAAGAGCCATCACTGAAATGCCTAGTCACAAAGTTGAAGATCAGTGAAAACACTTTGCAGTTTCTGTTTATAAATCTTGGCCATGCACATTGACACATGTGATTTAAATATAGCTTCAGTTGCCAGGGCTGTGGATAAATGGGTCATACCATTACAAATCTCAGTGGAAACTGTAGAGGGGAGGGGGGCAGGGCTACATTTTGATGGGAATTATAGTGCTGATACTGAAACAAACCCAGGTCCTGTAATATACAAAGACCTGAATTAATAAAGTCAAGTCAAGTTTTACTCAAGGTTTACTCAGATTTATGAATGCAGTTTCTCGAGCATGTATGAGACATAGTTTGGTTGAACTTGTGTACTCTGAGATTTTGGACCTGGGTCAATGAAATCACTTTATGATGAGTTGTACCCACATAGAGTACATATTAATTCACCTTTTCGCAGATGTTCCATGTATTATTTTAACATGGGTATTTTATAATTAAGTGACAGAGACTGTGACATTCATGTCTTGTTGATTATAATAATAACAATTTATTGTATCTTTAGAAATAGTTCCCATTGGTTGGCAGCAATAAAATGATAATTATAATAGAATAAAATACATATAATACTAAAATAAAATATTTTTTTATGAATTTGCACCAGCTTGGCTTATTATTATGTCTTCTTTTGAATATTAAATATCTGGAAATCACTTTTTAGCTCCGCTGTCGACTTTGTTAGAATTTTGTTTGACTTTAGATTTATTATAGGAGCTGCTCCTACAACAACATTGCTAGACAATTAGTGGCTTATGGCACTGATGTTGGGCCTTTAAATACATCACTAAAATGTGGAAAGTGTTAAATCCAATGTTGATGATTTATATCCATATATTTAAAAAAAAAAGTACAACCCAAAATTTAAATCGTCAATATTGACATTTTGAATCCATGTTAGGCTGTTCATGAAAAGTTTTAAAAATCCATTTCGTTTCCTGGTTTTAGTAAAATCCAATCTTGTTTTTATCTTTATGCCAAAAGTGCTTCTTCAGACTTCTATTCTTTTGATGGCGATTCAATCAATTGCGATTTTCTGTAATGTAATTTTCCTGATTTATGCGACTTTGTCAATAATAACACTGAAATAAAAAAAATATATTGAGATTAAAACTGCACCATGAAACCATTCAACTTTCTGTGTCACTTACACTGCCACTGGCAGCAGTCAGGAAAAAAACAAGAAGGCTGACATTGTTATCTGGGAGTAAAATGTGACTTTGTCGGTCAGAGCTTACATGTATATGAGTGATTGTCAGTGGGTGTCCGTCGTCTGTGTCAACTTTTTACTTTTTCGACTTTCTAAAAACTACAATTGCTTTGGTAAAAACACAGACCCTTCTTATACAATTATAATGCTGCACGAAAATGCTGGTAGAACTCAAAGTTTTCCGAATGGTAGTGCTCGTAAAAATTGCATTGCAGAAGTAAAACCATGTCATAGCATGATGTGTTGGCATGGATTTCATATGAAAACTGCACATTGGTTTTTATCATTTTTTAAAAGGTAAAAGAAGTGTTAAAAGAGTTTTGACATCATTTGTGATGATAACATTTGAAGAGTATAACATTTTAAGCGTCAGGTCACTTGTTCAAATTTGGGGTGGGAAGACTGAAAGGGAAGCTCTACTGTCTATCATGAGCAGCTAGATTACTGTAAAATGACTAATTTTCACTGGGTTTAAATTTCGCTGATTTACTATTTCAGGCCTATTTAGTGGGTTTTAAATTCACGATTTTGTCATTTAGATAATGTGTTCTATGCTAAATTTTACATATTCACTGGGTTTTAATTTAGCGTATTTTCCATTCAGCGAAATAAGCAAAATTAAAACCCAGTAAATAATTAACCCTTTTACAGTATACTGGTGGCAATGAACAAAATTTATATTGCTAGACCAAACATGCATCTTTTCAGCTTGAAACCCCCCTCCTTCAACTGGTGACTGTCGTTAGATTGAAAGTGTATAAATTAATTTTCCAAAACTTTTGCTTGACACACATGTACATGTATGAACAGTTTATTCTCACTAAATCTAGTTGCTGATCAATTTGTAAATATGAAAGTTGAAAAGTTTAATAGAATATTTTTTAAATTTAAGGTGCAGATATTGTTTTAGACTTGTTTTCTTAGGTCTATGATTTAAATAGAAATTCCCTGAAATGACACATTGCTTTTCGAAATGTTTGATTTGATCTAATGCCATAAAAACAAAGTAATCTAATATGCCCTTGAGAGGGAGCTATATTCATTGAATCAGTTCAAAACAAATCATCTGAAAAAGACAAAATCCTAAAAACACTGCACTCCTATTTCTTACTGTTAAAGTCTTTGACTGTTTTATTTCAGCTCAAGATAGTGATAATTGCCCCAGAAAACCAGATATGATTGGTGAAGGACGAACATGTAAGAAAGCATGTACTACAAATGCAAGTTGCTCTGAAAATAGGGAATGTCTGTGTGATGATGTCTGTGGATTCAGCTGTGTTAATCCAAGTAAGTTTATCGTTTACTGCTTTTAAAAAGAATTAAACAAAAATAGCTTTAACGTTTATTACATACTGCCTTTGAATCATGCATAAATGATTTATTTGGGTTGACAAAACTAACATTTCCCCATGTAGCATACTTCATCGCGAAATTACCAAAAAATAGATAGAGACAGATTTTTCAAACTGATGTGCGAGATAAGAAGCAAAACATATTTCTTTTTTCGCAATTACCATAATTGCATTTCCAATAAAAGCACTTGCTTAGGTCTTAAATAATAATAAAAGGTCTTGCAGACATATGTACATTAATTTGTTTTTTCGTTTTGTTAACTGCATTGATCCTCTGTTTATCTGGCACTATCAGACATGCTGTAGCTGATTTAAATCAAATTTGGCACAGACATCCCGCATGATGGATTACTGATGCACCTCAATTTGTTTTGTGATTTGCTACAAAATGGCCAAATGGCAGGCATGTTTTTTTTTTTTTTATGTGTTGTTCTCTACCAATATCTTGCCTGTGATTTGGCCAACCAACATGATACTGGTTGATTTGTCTTTCATTTTGATGACCTTTGACTGACTGGTAGCCATTTTTGTTCCCAGAAGCAGTGAAAACGTAACTAAATTTAAACATTTCTTCAAACCATTCTCAGGCTTTATTCAAACTTGGTAGGAACATTACTCACGATAGTTTTGATTCACCTTAGTTTGCATTGTGATTTGGTTTAAAATGGCAAACCCATGGGTACTTAGTATGTCGGTATATTTGATATGTCCTTACTGATTAATTATACTCATCATTCGATACAAGTTATCCACTGAATAGTCAGTGGGCTTTACCTTCCAAAGCTATGTTTAGAATTTTGTGATTCAGTATACAACAATTAAAATTTTTGGTTTATACATGTACCTGTATCCACTTCTAATAGAGTAAATACAGTCTCCTGATTTGCGCTCAGATTATTCATTGAATGTCACTGTTGTCTCTCCTGACTTTTTTTAGCTCCCCTGTCGACTTTGTCGAGCGGAGCTTATCATATGAGTGATTGTCCGTCGTCGTCGTCCGTGTCAATGTTTTACTTTTTCGACTTCTTCTTGAAAACTACAAGCCTGAATGCTTTGATACTTGGTGTATATGTACCTTGGGTAGACCTCTCTCAATTCTCTAATTTTGGTGAATATTTTTGTCATTTTTGGTTAAAAGTGATATTTTCAACTTCTTGTTAAAAACTTCTTGTTAAAAGTCCAATTGCTTTGATATTACATACATAAGTACTACAAGTGGACCTCTCTCAGATTTGTTCATTTTGTAATGATATCTTTAATTTTCTAATTTTGGTGAATATTTTTGTCATTTTTGATAAAAAGTGATATTTTCAACTTCTTGTTGAAAACCGCAAGTCCAATTGCTTTGATATTACATATACAGGTACTACATGTGGACCTCTCTCAGATTTGTTCATTTTGTAATGATATCTTTAATTCTCTAATTTTGGATGAATATTTATGTCATTTTTGGTAAAAAGTGATATTTTCAACTTCTTGTTAAAAACCGCAAGTCCAATTGCTTTGATATTACATATATAGGTACTACATGTGGACCTCTCTCAGATTTGTTCATTTTGTGATGATATCTTTAATTCTCTAATTTTGGTGAATATTTTTGTAATTTTTGATAAAAAGTGATATTTTCGACTTCTTGTTGAAAACCGCAAGTCTGATCGCTTTTATATTACATATATAGATACTATATTCACTATATGTGGATCTCTTTCAGATTAGTTTATTTCATGATGATATCTTCAAATACTTAATTTTGATAATTATTTTTGTCATTTTTGGTAAAAAGTGATATTTTTGAATTCTTGTTGAAAACAGCAAGTCATGGGACTTTGATACTTTGATGCTTTGATACTATACATATTGTTAATTTTCTAATGATATCTTCTATTCTTTAATTGAAATGTGCATTGCTAACAGCGGAGATATCTCAGCCGACAGACTGCTTGTTTTGTATGTGCAAATTGCAAGTGCTAGTGCTGACACATGGTGCATTTTTGCCACAGAAGTCATATTCAAATTTGGACTACATGACAGGGCTGTGCGGCCATCTTCCTATCAAATTTAATGTGCTATCCTGGCATCAACCAGGCTCAGTCAAACACAAGCACCTGCAGACCTTAACCAAGATTCCCCCAAAGTCACATTCGTTAGTGAGTCCCATTGAGTCTGTGGCACACCCAACCAGGGTATGGGTCAACCCTTTCGATGTGCAGCCTAAGGTAGGATTTGAACTTGAGTCTACAGATCACGAGTCTGATGCGACAACCACTATGTTACCAGTGACCGATAAGCCAAAACAATTGCTAACATTCAAACGTACTGCAAGTCAGTCAAATGAATGATCCCAGGGTGCACCTTTTAATATGCAACATGTATGAGAAACTGTTTTAAAAGGCTACAGGGTATATCAAGTTGAGTTGATCAGAATATTTTAATGTTATTAGTTTTTCAAATATTATTACTGTGATAACTAATTTTGTACTCCTGAATATATTGTTTTCTCATAGCTGCAATTTGTTTCCAATTGGAATCTCTTGAAAATGGACAAATTACTGTTCCAGAAAACCCTGTATTTGGTAATGAAGCAATATACACATGTAATGCTGGATATAGGTTTTCCCAACCAGGAGAGTCTATCAGACTTTGTCAAGGAGATAGGGAATGGAGTGGAACAGCACCTATGTGTGTTATTGATGGTAAGTTGTATACAATATTTCCCTCATCAGGTGATATCTTGTTTTTATGCTGTTCACTTGGAAAAAATGTTTACCTCTCATCCAGTAAGTACCAGGATGTGAGGCCTTAAGCTTTTCCAGCTCCCACTTTTCATCAAAAATTCACCAAATAGTTCCGTTTATAGTCTGCACTTTTCTTCAAAAGATTGAGACAAAAATAGCAAAATCTTTTGAGTAAAAACTGAGAATTGACTTTAATTTTGTCTGTTTTGTCAATATAAGAAAAATATGTAGAGAAAGTCACAAATAAGGGCTTAACTACCAGGTACTCCCATGTGGTTCATTATTAATATTATTTTCAAGAATTAAGCTTTTACAAACATTTTCAACTTATCATTGATGTTAAAACACTGTTCTCATCCTAATATGTTACCAATTGTTTGACCCAGTGTCATGTGGACCCCCACCTGATGTAGTAAACTCTCTTCATGATGGTGAAAAGGATTCTTACAATGTTGGTGATAGAGTTATTTATAACTGCAATAGTGGCTATTATAGACGTGGTTTAGCAATCATTCAATGTAGAAGTAATGGAATTTGGTCGAATACAGCATTTGAATGTGTTGGTAAGTATACTTAATTAAAATCCATTGATTTCTGAAGTCTACTTTTACTTGTCAGGTTGTAATGTTGCTTTTTAGATCAATTCAAAATGGCCGACTTGTGGTCGTTTTGTTTTAACGAATACTGTTCCTGACATACCCTAACCGGTGATGATCAAACTTCATATATTTCGTAAACTTGTTAACATGCAGAAACTAAGTAATGCAATTAAGGTAGAGATGCAGTTTATTTAGCTTGCTTTTTAATTGAGTAATTAGACAATGAAGATGGTATTATATATCCAACATGTTATATATTTTCTGAAAGCTTATTATACAAACTTTGTAAAACTTGTCTTTATTTTAAATATCCAGAATGCGTTTTTGATTTTGGGTCAAAAATATGCTTTTTTGGACAAAAGTGGTTTAAAAAAAATTAGCTTAAAAACTTCAAGTCCATTTGTGGGTAAAATT